GCCCCAGATGCTGAATCTGCCTCCTGGGATACAGGGTCACTAGCAGCCAACAGAATTTGGAACCACCTTCAGCCTGCTCTAACTTATTATGCTAGGAACTGGACCAGAACAGTGCACAGCTGAACCAGAATCTAGGAGGCACATGCGTGGCTTAGGTACACCTCCATCTCTGTGTTTTGTTCTTTGCTTCTTGTTGGGGCTTATTTGTTCTTCCTCTAATACACTGTTCTCTAAATTTCATCACAGAATCTTCAGCCCCATCCGCACAGGTATGTTCTTAAATTATATGGAAATTTGGGAGGTGGGCCCTCCTACTGGATTTAGGGGCTATCTCACTTCTGTCTTTTGACTTCTCACTGCTGTTTACATTAAAGCAAGCCACTTGACATTCAGGAGCCCCCTACATTTTTTCTATGATTTCAGCACTGTTCCTGGTACCATATTATGAGCACACAACTAATGCGGTAACAAAGTGAGTCCTGCAAAAAATGGTTTCCCTTTATTGCTTACACTATACCCTTTGGGTCCTGTGGAAACCTCATACATTCAAATTAGTGAAAATGGCAAAGTCTTTCATAGGACCATCCTTACAAGCTTTTGTCCACAAGCTGTTAAAAAAATAGGCATGAAAACATGTAGTATTAGACAATATTACATAGTACCGGGAACATATGTATGAACAATCCCTTGCTGACATACAAAAGTGCGGGGAGAGAACAGTGAATAGTGTGGGGGTCCTTCTGCGCTCACGGTCGTCGTCGGCAATTCTGCGGCGGGGGGGTCCTTCTGCGCTCCTGGTCTTTGGGGCACTTCGGTGGCGGGTCCCGGAGCGAATGAAGGACCCGCCACAGAATTGCCACCGAAGACCTGGAGCGCGGAAGGACCCGCCGCCGCCAAATTGCCGCCGAGGGTGGCAAAATGCCGCCCCCCCAAATCCTGGTGCCCTAGGCGACCGCCTAGGTTGCCTAAATGGAAGCCCCGGCCCTGTAAGTACCCCTGGAAACCACATGAAATATCAACTTCACTGGAAAATAATCAGAAAGTACTTAAAATCTGTAGGGAACTGGAAGGCTCAGGGGATTGGCTGTGGGAGATGGAGTTTTTTGCTACCTATGTCACTAACTGAAAGGTGGTTGAGATGACTGAAATTAGTAGCTGAAGGCTGTTCAGTGGCTTTATGTGAATTAGTAGTTTCAGTCCAGTTTCCAAAAAAATCAGTTACAACTGGAACTAATGGGCCTCTTTAATGGGTTGGCAGTGTTACCAGAGAGGCCAAGGATCGATGCTTGCCAGTGTCCATGCACATTAGGAGAGTGATGAAAGGGGTTTGAAGTCAGAGGCCTTGGAATGGGATATGGAGCCTTTCAGTTCCAGGTTGCTGGTTTGCATACAGGCCAGTTTTGGATTGTGAGTTTGGTGGTCTCCCTCCAGTGTCCATGTCATAAAAATGACCATCACATTTAGAACTAATAGGCACCCTTGTTAGCATTCTCAGGGGAAGTTACTGGTCTGAATAGACTTGGAGGCTGAAGTAACCTCTCAGTTCTAGAGCTGGTTGCTCCAGAAAAGTTTTTGAGGCACGCTTAGCTTAAGAGTTTTCTTCAAGACAATGTCTGGCTTTGCTGGCTTGCCTGTAGGCCACCACCTGCTCAACTGTTCGGGGGAGACTGTGGCAAATTAAGGTCCCAGGGTGTACCACAGAGGGGGAAACATTATTACTACAATCAATCGGCTGAGAGGGGAAAAAAGGTAAAAATTGTACTTTGGTCATACAGTGCAGCAACTATTTCTTTTAAGGCTACAAGACGCAGTGGGCCAAATGCAGACTTGGTCTAATTCAGACCTGGTTTAAGTGGGTTCAACAGCTATGGAAGGCTCTAGGCCCAATAAATTGATGTCTTACTGTGACGTTCCCCTGGTGTTCTCTGGACCGGTGATCTGCCAGATCACTCTAATCCTCGACTCTGGGAGCCAGACTTACCCTGCTCTGCTGTGAGACTCCCCACTCCCGGGCTGTTCACACACAGCCTCTAGCATGTAAGCTGCTCCCAGCTACATGAGTGAGCACTTTTGGCCAGCTGCTGCTTGGAGTGTGCAACCGAATGATACTAACCAATATCTCCAGTCCCAGACACAACCCTAGGAACCGCCATCTTGCAGGGTCCAGTTATGCCTGCTGGATGCTGCAAGCTTATATGAGTTTGTCAATTTAACAAATAAGTTGATATGTACCAGGCTTGTTATCCCAAGGGGAGTCTCTGACATGCTTCAAACCAAATGTACTGCTTCAGGTAGAATAAACAAACAAATTTATTAACTACAAAAGATAGATTTTAGTGATTTTAAGTCAAAGCACAAGAAGCCAGATTTGGTCAAATGAAATAAAAGCAAGACGCATTCTAGGCTGATCTTAACACTTTCAGTGCCCTTACAAACGTAGATGCTTCTCACCACAGGCTGGCTGGTTGCCCTTCAGCCAGGCTCTCCCCTTTGATCAGTGTTTCAGTTGCTTGGTGGTGGTGGTGGTGGTGTCTGTAGATGGAGGTGAAAGAGAGAGAGAGCATGGCAAATGTCTCTCCCTTTTATCATGTCCTTTCTTCCCTCTTGGCTTTGTCCCCCCCCCCTTCAGAGTCAGGTGAGCATTACCTCATCGTAGTCCCAAACTGACCAAGGGGGGGGTGACTTACTGGAGAGTCCAACAGATCCTTTGTTGCTACCTTGGCCAGTGTCCTTTGTTCCTGTGAGGCTGGGCTGATGGTGTGTGAACTGCCCCTCTGCTCTTGGAGAGTTTTGCCTGGGCCTCTGCTCCTGGAGAGTTTTTGTTTGAGCTTGTTTTAAGCCATGAGGACACATTTTCAGCCTCATAACTATATACATGAAATTACAATCTATAACATTACTATAACAATAATGTTCAGTGCACCATGAGCATAGGTGCTGACGCCGTGGGTGCTCTGGGGTTGGAGCACCCATGGGGAAAAATTAGTGGGTGCTCTGCACCCACTAGCAGCCATGCTCCCCTCATCCCCACCTCCTCTTCCTTCTCCCCGAACGTGTCCCGTCCCTGCTCCTCCACCTACCTCCCAGCGCTTCCCGCCCAGCCACCACCAAACAGCTGTTTGGCAGCGTTAGCTCGCTCTGGGAGTGGGGGGAGGAGCGGGAACATGGCGCGCTCAGGGCAGGAGGCGGGGAAAGGGCAGGGCCGGGGATTTAGGGAAGGAGTAGGAATAGGGGCAGCGAGGGGGCGCAGTTGGGGTGGGACTTTAGGGAAGGGGTTGGAATGGGGGTGGGGCAGGGGTGGGGCCTCATGGAAGGGGTGGAGTGGGGGTAGGGCTGGGGGCAGCGTGGGGGGGAGTCGAGCACCCACGGAAAAGAGGGGAAGTCAGTGCCTATGATCCTGAGCCTTCCGAAGACACCTGACATGACAAACTTTCCATTGGATACCACACAATCATATTATAAGGATGAACATGGGGATGCAGGGTGTTCCCCCAAGGTACAGAGCGTCACACTTACCCAGTGGTGTAAGTTATGCACGGAACAATAAATGGGTCAGAATACCAAACTCCCTTTGATTTCACTGGGATTTGTGCACATGTAAGGATTGCAGAATCAGGTTCACTGTTATAAATGAGAGGTCTCAGAAAACAAAGGCTGCCAGGATACAGGCCAGTTTGTCTGCTGGTGGCATTCCATTAACTTTGATGGATTTATATTAGCACCAAAGTTTGTTATTACTACTGAAGCTAGAATGTATTAAGCTTTTGTTAGGCATGGTGGTGGCTATATAACCAATAAAGGTAAGCTGTGCAAGTTCCTCAGAGCACATTATGATGTTGCAAAGGCACTGTATATTAACAAGAAGACTGGTGGGCAAAAGTAATTTCTTTTTTGGACACCTGCTCCCCCAAAATTGGCCCCCTTATGTAATTCTGCCTCAGTGTCCCCTTTCTCAGATTATTTATAACTTTGGAGGCACCTAAAGTTCTGGTACTTCATTATGGTCTCACAGGTTACCTGAGCTGTACACCCCTGCTCTTTGAACCATTTCAAATAAACATCCAACTGAGAGCTTTTGGCTACCTGCCAGTTTACTCATTTTTTCTTATATAGGTACCAGGAAGAGCAATGAAGCTAAAATGGCACACTTCAAAGATAAAAAAATATTTTGTAGTAGTTCCATGATATGAAAATAGACATTAGTTAGGGTTACCATACGTCCGGATTTTCCCGGACATGTCCGGCTTTTTGGGCTCC